ACCCAATATTTGGGAAATTTCCAGGCACATCATTTATTTTTAATAATATTTTAATAGCATAAACATTCTTTATCTAATTTCAACTTGTATAAATATGTTAACATTTATTTTCAGCCCATGATAAAGTCTTTCTGAGTAAATGTACCTCATGCATTTAATACACTTTTTAAAAGATAGTGTTTTTTCTGTTGTTGGTTTGTTGGTAGTATTTTTCAAGATGTTTATATCCTTACCAAATTTCTCCTTATCACTTCTATTGACTACAATTTTTGGGTCTAGTAATTCCCCTATCTTAGGTTGCAAGTTTATTTTATTAGCTCTAATTCATATTTTGAAAAGCCCTGTCTTCTTATTAATTTAACCCATCCATCTTTAATGATATATTCTTCTACATACCTAGTCATATTCATTTTTCTGAATTCGACCAATTCTTACTAATAGGGTCACGGAAATTTTCTTTTCATTAGTATTTCAGGGCACCTTTACTCTTAACATATCAATGGATTGTATAGTTGCAATTTTATCTAAATGTTTAGCTAAAATTTTTATCCTAAACATCCAATTTTTGGTTTTAGTGTATTTAGATCATGTATCTCATTCAGTAAAAATATTGATTGGCAGTTTGACAATCTGCTTTTTTGAATGTTTTTCTTGTTAACTCTATCTGTTCTTGAATGCATTTCCCTGCTTTTTCTTTCCTGTTCTTCGATGAATTCATTTTATAATTCAATGTCTACTTAAATTTGTGTCCTTATTTTTCACAGCTTAAAATATTTTAAAAGACTACCATGGATTTGAGGACTGGAGCAATAGCACAGCAGGTAGAGTGTTGCCTGCATGCAGCTGACCCCAGTTTGATTCCTCTGTCCTTCTCGGAAAGTCAGGCAAGCTACCGAGAGTTTCCTGCCCTTGCGGCAGAGCCTGGCAAGCTCCCCGTGGCATATTCAATATGCCCAAAACAGTAACAATAAGTCTCACAGTGGAGACATTACTGGTGCCCGCTCAAGCAAATCAATGAACAGCAGGAGGACAGTGCTACAGTGCTACCATACATTTGACTATATAAAACTAATTTACCTATGTTCACCTTGAAGTACTATTAAGTAGAGCTGGAACGACTGTACAGCAGGTCAAGTTCTTGCCTTGCATATCACTCTCCTGGGTTCCATCCTGGTTTCAGATGGTCCCTGAGCTACTCTAGGAGTGATCCCTAAGCACCGAGCCAGAAATAAGCCCTAAGCACAGCCAGGTGTGGACCCCACACAGGGGAAGAAATAGTACTGAGTTAGTGCATAAAATAAAGGATACACTTTTAGTGCAGTTAGGGGCATGGGAGGCATAGGATAGAGAAGCAATAGCCTCAAGACTATGAGAATGCTCTGCTCTTCTCAGCAGAAATGCTCTGCCAGGCTGGCTTTGTTGCCCCCTTAAGTCTGTCTAAACCTGTACTCATCCTAGCAGGGTATTTCCTAGCAGGAAATGTCATGTATAGACCTGAACTTTCCCTGAGTTTGCTTTATGCAGGATATTGCCCATACCTAAGGGCCTGCATTTACAGGGCCATGTCCCTTAGATACCCACTAATTTGAGTTTGTAGTGTAAAATATTTCATTTAGTTCATTGATTGGCTTTGTCTCTCTCACTCTCTCATATTTAGAATATCTCATATCTCTCTAGAGCATATAAATGAAATCTGTGCTCGTGCATTTCCTCATTCAATTAATGGCTGAGATTTTGTTTTGTCTGGAAAACAAAACACATTCACTGTTTATTAGGGCTACTTGTGATGTGACAGTAGTCTGAAGTAACCTTTGTGGAATTTTGATCTTTCCTAACTTTTATAATATCTTTCTGTCCTTATTATAAGACAGAAATGTCTTTTGTAATAAGGACAGAAAAATATCTATTATATCTAGCTTATGGCAAGCTAGAGACAACAAATTTGTTGTCAATTTTGTACATTTTCCTTCTGTGTGGTGTGGCTTTTCATTTCTTCCCACCTGATTGCTTTCAATATTGTCTCTTATTAAAAGTTTTAATTTTCTTCTTCCCTTCCCTTTTAGTTCCTGTTGCTGTTGTGATGATAGGGGTCATACATGCTTGTTTTGGGTATTAGTGCATTTGTTTGTGGTGTTTCTGCCACACACTTTAGTTGCCATGCTCACAAATACTTGGGTGTGATGCATAGAGACTGCACACTTTGTTACAGAACTGGAGATTCCAAACAGCAGCGCTGCACAACCAGCACCGTGCTCAGGCACACAGCCAGTGCCAGGGTGAAACTAGTGGTCTCAGACTAGAAAGACAAATGCCCTACTAGCAAGTCTTTTTATTTTTTAACAATTTGATCATGACGTATCATGGTGTGTGTGTGTGTGTGTGTTTGTGTGCCTGTGTATATGTTTGTGCATGTGTGTGTATTTTTCCTGCCTCTGCACATGGCTAGTAAAGGGTGCCTAGTACGTGTGTCTGGAAATGGACACATTAGTGCCAGAATTTGATTCAATAGTATCACGAGCTGAAGAGATATTAGGATGTGGGTTTTCGTGTTGCTACCATATGTGCTCTCTGAATTCCTGTGATAAAATACTAAGACTGAAGGTCATAGTATTTTGAGGTATAGTTTTGAGGCTGGAGCGATAGAGCGTTTTTCTTGAATGTGGCCATCCTGGGTTTGATTCTTCCGTCCCTCTCGGAGAGCCCAGCAAGCTATTGAGAGTATCCTGCCCACACAACAGAGCCCAGCAAGCTCCCCATGGCATATTTGATATGCCAAAAATAGTAACAACAAGTCTCACAATGGAGACGTTACTAGTGCCCCCTCGAGCAAATCGATGAACAATAGGAGGACAGTGCTACAGTGCTACAGTTTGGGGGAGGCAGTTCATTCCCAGAGGTGAAGCCCCCATGAATGGGATTAGTGCCCTTATTAGAAAAGCCTTGAGGGACTGAAAAATAGCTCTGGGGTCACAGAAACATGCCTTACAGTGCAAGGACCTGAATTCAATCCCTGGTGTCCTCAGCACCTAAAATCATAGTCTCTAGAACTATAGGCTCTGGAACACCAGTGTGGAAGGCCTAGTCCTCCCAGCACTGCTGACTCTAAGTCGTGCCACCTCACTTGCCCAAGCATTGAATCTCCCCACCTGATTGGCCAAGTGGCTCCAGAAGTCCCAGGGCTCCTGTGTGTTGCTTGAGAGACTTCTCCCTTGTAAAGGAAGACACCAGAAATCTAATCCACTTTCTTCCTGTCCTGTGAGGATCCGAAGAACAGTCAGCAGTCTGCAATTATAGAGGGCTCTCTGAAGATCTCCACAATGCTGAGAGCCTGGAATTACACATGCAGTTTCAGAAGCAGAAAACATGTTTCTATGTGACACACAGCCTATAACGCTTTCCTACAGCAGCCTATGCTTAGATATGTAGGAAAACAGTTTTTCTCAGACTTCTTGGTACTCCTGGTATTTCTACAGTTCCACCTGCCCAGAGGGCTTTGCCTTGAACACGTCACCACAAGCAGAAGTGATTGCCAGCTTCTGCTTATTCTGTTGTCTTTTTGTCATCTAGGTGCTGTGGAGCAGAAGGGTAGGTGTGCCTTGTGCTAGGGTCAAACTAGGTCGGCCTGTGTTGGGGGCATTAACGGTGGGATTCTCTCAATCATCCTCTTCCTTCCCAGGGAGTAAACTTATGTCGACTGAATTTCCTGCCCTTTCCCAGTGTCTCATAGGAATTCTATCTACTCCTGTGAACTCACACACAGCCTGCAGTAAGTTATTTTTTAGGGCCTTCTGACTCTTTAATGATACCAGTGCTCTTAGCCAGTCCTCTGCCATAGGTGAGCTCATGCTCATTGCTCTTTGCAGGAATCTACTTTCTCTTAAAGAAAGGATCAAGTTCCTTGTTTTCTCATGTCTTTACTGAATCCTTGAAACATTAGAACTTCATATTAAATATGACTTTTGCTTTCAGTGTAGGACCAAATGTGAAACTCTGCCTACTCATTTGGTAGCCTTATCTTCTCTTTAATTTTTTTAATCATTATTTGAATTTTGGGGTCACACCTGCCAATCAGGGGTCACTCCTGGCTCTGCTATCAGGAATTACTCCTGGCGGTGCTTGGGGGACCATATGGGATGCCAGGGATTGAACCCAGGTTGGCCACTTGCAAGGCAAATGCCCTACATACTGTACCACTCCAGCTCTGCTAGTCTTAATTTGAAAGGTTTTATTGTTTTCTTGTCTTACTGGGGGAACAAAATATTATTTAAAAACTTTATATTTTCTTACTTTGACACTTCTTTCCCAGCATCAGGTTTTAAAAATAGATCAAATTTTTAAAATGAGAAGTAAAATACTGATACACAATGACATTTTATAGACTTCTTAGAATCTGAAAATAATCGAATTAAAAATCTGACCAAAATAAAGCGAAGGGAGTTTAATGTTCTCTGGATATAGCTTTAAACTTTTCCTCTGCTTAAGATCTCTTAAGTATCATGAATGAAATATAATCTTTTGTTCAGAACTAAATTCAGGTCTCTGAAGATGCTATTTTCTTACAAAAGTACACATTACCTTTTAACCTGGTGTAGCAACATTAATCAACTTAAGGTTAATAGATACTCTGATTTTTTTCATGAATCTTTGTATTATTTTAACTTGGGAATAAATATCTTAAGTATTTAATTCAAATATATACATATACAGTTACATAAAAATTTATATAATTATAGAGGGATTAACATTGAATATAGAGGGATTAATCAAGAATAAGAAAATTCTCTACAGTGAGCTAAATGTTCTAAAAGTTTTCAGATCCATTTGGTCTTAATATTATTATCTAGAAAAATAAGCTTTAGTATAACTAGTAGTCTAAAATAATATTTAGCATAACTACCTGGTCTTTTGCAGCTCCAAGATCCGATTTTTAAATTTCACTTCCCTTTTTTCAGTGTTTAATTTGAAAATCATTCTTATGGTGAACATTTCTATTATTATAGGTTTTATATGGGGAGAAATTAAACAAATGTGGGATGGAGGACTTCAAGATTATATCCATGATTGGTGGAATCTAATGGATTTTGTGATGAACTCCTTATATTTAGCAACGATCTCCTTGAAAATTGTCGCATTTGTCAAGGTAACTATCACTTATGTTGTTAAAAATAGTAATTCTCATACATATTCTGATATATAGTCAATTACTATTACAATTACTAATAAATTTCCTAGAGCTTTATTTACTTACTAATCAGCTTATTACTTTATTGCAGATACTTTTAAAATGCATAGTCTTTAAACAAATTTTAACAAGTAATTAGATGTTATTATTCAATTTTCTTGCCTCTAAATCGAGTTGTGCTCAAAATTATTCATAATAGTTCCCCTCATGTTGAACACTTTTATATCAAGAAAATTCTATTTCACACAGAGTTAAATTTTGACAAACAAAATCTATTTTTATCAGTTAGATATAACTGATGAAATTACACAGACAGATCAAAATATTATTTGTTCATAGCACTAAAATTATTATTTCAGTTTAAACTAATACAGTTTGATATAATTATAGCAGAATATAATTTCTTTCTCCTTATCCTATTCAACACATCAGTGCCTGAAATCTCACACACCCATTACACCCCCGTATTTTGTACAACATCAATCTTATCCCAAACCACATAATTTACATAAAACATTTTTGTTCTGCAATGACAATCGAAATTATTTTGTTCTTTGGGTGATGTTTTACAAACTAAGTATTATCATCTTCTTCTTGCTTATCATTTTTCCTTTTCTTTAAAAAAATTGCTTCAAAGTGGTTAGTGAATTAGTAAATAATAGAGACTCTGAATTAGACTTTACATGAATAATTCATGAAACTTAGTGATCTGAACTAGAAAATGCTAGTATCTCATGAACTCTTATTCATTTCACCTAGTTTGTGAAAAATTGTGGCCAGAAACACTTTGAGGAATGTTTACTATGACAGGGTCAAAAACAACCCAAAATTTAGAAGACTCAAATTTCCAAAACTTGTGCTGTTAATCACTTGAATCACTGTGAGATACAGTTACAAAGCTGCTCATGTTCCGGTTTTGTCATACAGTATTCCAACATCCATCCCTGAGAGGTTTTCATGTTTGCTTCCTCACCCCCTTTCAGCACACAGTTCTTATCCAGAGTGATCATTTCCAGCTCTCTTTGTCACAGTGGTCCCTTGTCTATCCCAACTGCCTTCTCCTCAGCCCCTGAGGCAGACTTCCAATCGTGGACCAATACTGCTGGCCCTTGTTTCTATTGTATTTGGTATTAGTCTCATACTACGCTTTTTTTATATATATCCCACAAATGAGTCCAATAATTCTATGTCTACCCCTCTCCTTCTGACTTACTTTACTCAGCATGATACTCTCTATAGTCATAAGATGTTTTAAGCAGTCACCAAAGCCTGAGGAGAACCATTTGCTGGAGGATTCTGCATCACCAAACTGACATGTTGCTTCACTCTTCCTTGCCTTACTTTTGTTCTTTCATTCAAATTAATATTATACAATCTATAACTTACATTTCAGGAAAGTGTGCTTTATTGATATAGAGAAAATATGTTGCGCAGTACATAGGCAATTATAGTGAATCAGTTGATAAGTATTTATGAAGTACACTAAGAAAGCAATTTTTGATTTTATTGCTGAGGTGCAAGGATGTCTGAAATGAGGCCTGTGGCCTCAAGCAGTTTGCAATAATTTGAAAGAAAAAAATGCATATCAACAAGAATACTCTACTAGGATAATACCTCTATAGTAGGACCTATAATAACTTCAAAGTGGGAGACTAAATTTTACTGGCTGGTATTCCAATTTCAAAAAATCAGAGTGAGTGAATATTTGTTGTGTTCATGAGCATTCATGAGCATCCACAGAGAAAGGGCAATGCTCAAAGGTCAGTGTGTATAAAGGAAATTGATATCTTCAAGGCATGATCCAAGAATCAGGAGCAAGATATGGATGGAAAGACTTCCTACTTTCTGCTATAGAATTTGGATTTGTTCTTCCATTCATAGTCATTAATGTTATTTAACTAGAGAAACAGCCAAATGAGGCTGACACCTCAAGTATAGCAACCATCACAGCAGAAGTGAATAGAAGATTGGATTTGAAAACAAATACAATGTGAGAGCCACAAGATAGGTGACTGTTGGGGTTAGAGCGATAGCACAGCAGATAGGGCGTTTGCCTTGCATACGGCCGACCCAGGTTTGATTCCCATCATCCCATGTGGTCACCCGAGCACTGCCAGGAGTAATTCCTGAGTGCAAAGCCAGGAGTAACCCCTGTGCATCGCTGAGTGTGACCCAAAAATTAAAAAAGAAAAAGAGAGGTGACTGTGCCCATTTGAAATTAATATTAAGTAGATGGAATGAATGCGATATTGCTCCCTGAAAAATAAGAGTTTTGGTATCTAGGCCATAACTGTAAGTTCTATCAGAGGGTGCACAAATTATAGAAAAATTATGTCTAATTTTGGGCAAAGTGGTACATCAAGACCAAAAAAAAAAAATAATAGTAATGATCACTTCCAGAGGAAAAACCTTTCTGTAACTGGTCTTTCCAAAAGAAGAGCACTTTATAATCAGTTTAGCACAGTTTCTCTGCATGTATAGGATATCATTTCTTTCTTTAAAGAACCTCTTAAGCAAAATTATGGCCAATTTTGAATTTTGATCCATACTTGATATTAGTACTGCCTATATAACTCTCTGACTTTGTGATTTGTGTAACAAATTAATTGTATAAAAATATTCACATACATTCAGCGATAATTAAATGCCACAGAATGTATGTGAAAATTAATAGGTACATTTAATTCAATAAATTAGCACTTACGGTCATCCATCCCTTTTGTTTTCAATTTCTATGCACAATGTCTTAACAAAATTTTGTGCAGAAAAGATAGAATAAAAAATATATTTGAGATCAGTATTTTTTTCGTGCAACTCTATGGCAGTATTTTATAGAATACCTTTATGCATTAACATTTCATAATCCATGGATTGGGCCACACCCTATGGTGTTCAGGGCTTACTCCTGGCTTTGAGCACGAGTGGAGTGGACCATATGTGTTGCTGTGGATCCAACCCAGGTCAACTGCATGCAAGGCAGTGCACTGCTTGGTGTAATACCTCTCTGGTCCACTTGTGGAATTTTTTTTTAAAAAGGAAATTCCCAGAGTAAGATTTGTCAGTCATTTTCTCCTCTCAAATTTATCATGTCAAGTGTTAATTCTGAGAGTGTTGATATAAGAAAGAAATTAGATAATATTACTTTGGTTTCAATAGGGTTGATTTTCTCTTCAGTAGTAATCATGCCTTTCCATACTACTTATCTTTTTTATCCTTATTTTATCTTTTTATTTTAATCATAATGTGAAGATGGTTGAGTCCTTGTGCCTATTCACTGGGTAACATAAATAATATTTTTAAAACACAAAGTCATTATGAATAAGAATGTTAATTTTGACATTTATTCTAGATTTTTTATAGCAAAATCTGGTAGAAAATACAGGAGAAAATCATGTATTTTTGCTATTTGATTACTTAATCAAATTTGATTGTTTAATCAAAATCTAACAAATTTGTTGAAATATTTTTATTTTATAAAAAAATAAAATAAAAAATATAAAAGAAAAAAGAATAAAATCAGTGTACAATTTATATTTAATTGTACATTAATTTAATTACATTTGATTGTACAATAATATATTTGATTGTGCATTAAATTAATTATATCAATTATGATTACTTTTACAATTTTGCATCAGAAACTACAGAGTATTTCCCAAGGAAAGTATCAACATTATTTGAGTAACACCATATGTAGGGCTGGAGTGATAGCACAGCGGTAGGGCGTTTGCCTTGCACGCAGCCCACATGGCCAACCTGAGTTCGATTCCTCCGCCCCTCTCAGAGAACCCGGCAAGCTACCGAGAGTATCTCGCCCGCACAGCAGAGCCTGGCAAGCTACCTGTGATGTATTTGATATGCCAAACACAGTAACAACAAGTCTCATGATGGAGACGTTACTGGGCCCGCTCAAGCAAATCAATGAACAACGGGAGGACAGTGACAGTGACACCATATGTCTGATTTATAAACAAAAACTGAAGTACCATAATTATAGCTTTTATCTACTCTAGAAAAATGGGTCTATATTATAGAAAGATACTGCATGAGAATGTGAGGGTAATTTGTGAAATCACCTCTTTTGAAACTTTTATCAACAACTTTAGGGACTTATTAAGAGTGAGGTGACAAATCACTCTCAAAACAATATCAGGTTCCATATTCCAGAGTTTTCATGTGACATGTTGGGAAATAAAAAGATGAGGACAAAGCTGAATCACTGGAGAATATTAAGTAAATGTGAGACGGTCTACCTTTAAAAATGTTATTATTCAGGAAGTAGCTTATAGTGGCTAGAAAATTTAAGTTCATGGTATGGAGAGAGGGATGAGACTACTCTAACAATGTCTGTGGGAGGGAGAGAGTCTCTAAGACAACGAGGCTTCCAATAAAGGAATCAGCAGATGTACGATTTGTAAAGCAGGAAGTGGAGCAGGAAAGTCTAGACTCAACCACAAATTCTTCAACGATTAATCTGCTTCCAATCACCAATTAAACAGAAAGGAGAAATAGCCTCAGGATAAGAATGTTGAGTCTTATATCTGGCCTCTGAGTTTAAGAATCCTGTGAGGAATCCAAGTTAAAAAGTGAACAAACCAGAGAATAAAAATTCTTTCATGGAGTGAATGAATCTGAGCTGGAGATGTGTGAGACTCATAATTAAAGTCATCAAAAAATATGGAGACTCTAATTCAAATGGGAAGAAAAGAAACTGGAGAAGCAAACTTTTTTTTTTTAAGGAGCCAGTAAGAGGAACCGATAAAGGATACCGAAAAAAGCTATAACAAATGGGTGGCAGCCACACTCACAGATAAGAAATAAATATAAAATTTCTAGATAAGTTTTAGAAAGTAGAGCCAAAGAAAGTTTTTAAATTAAATTTCCTCTTTGAATACACAATAATGGAGGTTACAGTGAAAGAAAATGAAAGAAAATGCATTCAACAAATCAAGAAATGCAGTTTTTCTCTAAAAATTTGAATCGTGTGGTTTGGGATCATTCAGAGAATTATTTCGTTCAACAACCTTTATATTTAAAAGCCTAGGGGAAGATACAGATGAATGGCAGGGAAAAAAGAGTACAAAGCAAAATTTTAAAGAATGAAACCAAGATATAACTTCTGAAGATTTATGTCTCTATTTCTTTCTGACAGGAGACAAGGCTTCTGGTTCAAAAAATAGACAATTTACTTACATAACAATCTTACTATTGGTTCCTCTGCCCTGTTCCCCCAGAGGGGAGCATGATGAGAATCAGCTGTCTCGCTCACACACAGGAATTTGTACCACAGGAAAGAAACTGGGAAATCATGACCCTCAGAGCTCAGATGGTGCAGCTGGCACAGCTGCCTGTCTTCCCCTGGAGAAGGAGAAACTTTGCTTCCTACAAACAAATTCTCCCTTGGGAGACAAAGGTCCATGGGTTTATTATACTTACAATGTAATCAGATGACTCCAGAGGAATATGTTTCTAAATCTCTCGGGGCCAGGGGGGTTGGGGGGTTGGCAGCAGAGTTTTAATGTTCAGGCTTGCTTGCCATTCCAGTCTTCCAGTCTCCTTTAATCAGATGTCAACGTTGTTTTTCTTAGGGTCCTGATCAGCATGAACACGAACATATTCCTATGGCTTTGGGGTTAGCAGCCTGGAGTTAATAATATTCTTGAGCCAGAGTCGAACATCTCATGATTTGTTAAATTATATGCAAAACAGTGTCCCATGTGAAAAATTTTGAGACCCATGTTCTTGAAAGCACTTCTAGTTTCCTTTTCTTTTTTTTTAACATTTGAGATATATTATAGTAAAAGGAAGGAGAAATAAAAAAAATAATCCATCAACAAGATGGGGAGATCTTATCTACTTTGATGTGTCTTTAAAAAGAACTGAGAAAAGGAAGAAGGACGTGATTCTGGTCTTTGAAGGAAGAGGTGTACTCATCTATGAGGTGGAGAGGGACAGTACAAGCCCTGTCTCTGACACTTGCTATAGTGAATTAAACAATGTGAAATGTTTATTTCTTCTATAGTTTCAATCATTCATTGGCTATTATGATGAAGCTATGTGTGGGAATATTCAAAAACAGTAATCAGACTTAAAATAGAAAATAATTTCCTTCTAGTTCACACTTGATTGTTTTAAATTGTCACTCAAGCAAGAGTCTGAGTGCCGAACAAAATCAGGAGCGTGTGATGTGTTTTCTCCCCAGGGATATTTTAAAAAATACTATCTATTAGTTTCAAGAGAATTAATTAACATTTACAAAGGTCTTTGGTATAAAGCACAATATAAAAATAACAAATATTCTGATGGGACTTGAACAGAATTAGAGGTTTTTATTTTTTTCTGACAGTTTATTGGGGAAAAAGATTCAGTTGTCTAGACATGCTTTTCAGAGATGTGCTTAAGAAAAGAAGACTTCAATTTATTATTCAGTTCTTATGCAAGTTTAATTATAGATTCGCACAGACTATATCAAAGAGCATATTTGACCCTTTAAGACAAAGATACAAATTTTCCTCAAAAAGTTCAAAGGACAGACTTCCTTAGGCTCTCTATATAGTTCAGTGTCAAGATAATTTTTAAAATGATGTTACTTTTTAAATAATTCTGATCAAAATTTAGTGTACCAAATCCTTTTCTCAAGCCACATATTTAATTGAATTAGGAAAGATCAGTCAGATATTACACTTTCTGCATAATAACTAATAAATTTTTGAATCAGTACTATTTTTAAATGGAATTTATCTACATTTAGGATATAACAGATACAAAGAATCAATAACTATGCCTATACCGGTCATTATTATTTCCAAGGTAGCATACAGATTCCATTTATTTTTATTTAATTTGTATTCTATGTATTTCTCTGATAGATTGGTATATTTAATATTTGCTCGAGTGGGCCCAGTAACGTCTCCATTGGAGACTTTGTTGTTACTGTGTCTGGCATATCGAATACGTCATGGGGAGCTTGCCAGGCTCTGCCGTGCGGGCGAGATACTCTCGGTAGCTTGCTCTCCGAGAGGGGCGGAGGAATCAAACCCGGGTTGGCCATGTTGGCTGCATGCAAGGCAAACGCCCTACCACTGTGCTATCGCTCCAACAAAACAAAACAAAACAATATAGTATGTGAAATTGTTAATTATTTTGTCCTAAGTTCAATCACTTTATAATCATTTCACTCTTTGTTATAAAATTATAGTACTGTTCTTTCCTCAACATAAAGTCAGATAATCTCCCATTTAACTTTCTTTCTTCCTTGCTTGCTTGTTTCCTTCCTTTCTTTCTTTCTTTTTTTCTTTCTTTCTTTCTTTCTTTCTTTCTTCTCATTTCACTTCAAAGCTCAAGGACAATGTCACATATTCATAAATGACTAGGGCAGACCAGGAGCATCAATATTTTGGAGCTCATAAAATATAAACTAGTAAATAGTGTGTGTGTGTGTGTGTGTGTGTGTGTGTGTGTTAAATTACTATTGATTTCACCAGTATAGAGTCACATTTTCCTGATAGACTGATGATTCTATGCAGGCTTATGTGAAAAGGTATCCTGGTTTGAACTTGACAATTGATATATCAGGATGTATGTGGTTGTCTCACTTTTTCTTTGTTGCATTGTTTTCTACAGTACAGTGCTCTTAATCCACGAGAAACATGGGACATGTGGCACCCCACTCTGGTAGCAGAGGCATTATTTGCTATTGCAAACATCTTCAGTTCGCTGCGTCTGATCTCATTGTTCACTGCAAATTCTCACCTGGGACCTCTACAGATCTCCCTGGGAAGAATGCTCCTGGACATTTTGAAGTTTCTCTTCATATACTGTCTCGTGTTGCTTGCATTTGCGAATGGCCTAAACCAATTATACTTCTATTATGAAGAAACAAAAGGGCTAAGCTGCAAAGGCATACGCTGTGAAAAGCAAAATAATGCATTTTCAACGTAAGTGGAACCGACATTTCACACGGTAGCATTGTGTAGAATTTAGACTGTTGAAAATTCATGGAAAGTGATTACAAAGGAAATTGTATTTCATGCAGAAAATCTAATTAACATGGATTTGAATATAAATAGATCTTTAAGACATTTTTTTTAAAAGCCTAGTACAATGATTTTGTTTTGATTAAATGGTCTTTTAAATGACATCATAAAAAGAAACTTCCCATACCCTTCTTTTTGTTGTTGTTTTTGTTGTTGTTTTTTTTATTAGTGAAACACCATGAGGTATAGTTATAGACTTACAAATTTTTGTGCTTGGGTTTCAATTATACAGTGATCACATACCCATCCCTTCACCAGTACCCATTTCCCACCACCACGGATCCCAGTATCCCTCCCAACCCCCATCCCCCCATGCCACCCTGCCTCTGTGGCAGGGCATTCCCTTTTGTTCTCTCTCTCTTCTTTTGGGTCCTGTGTTTTGCAAGAGAGGCCTTGAGTGGCAATCATGTTTGGTCTTTAGTCTACTTTCAGCATGCTTCTCTCACCCTGGGAGGATCCTCCCAACACCCTTTATTTGGTGCTCTCTTCTCTATCTGAGCTTCCTTTTCCCCTAGCACGTGTGGCTGGCCTCCAAGTCATGGAGCAAAATTCCTGGTACTAATCTTGGCCACTCCTGGGTGGTAGTCTCCCATTTTGTTGCTTTATGTTCTCCAGATGAATGCAATCTTTCTGTGTCTATCCCACTCTTTCTGACTCATTTCGCTTAACATGATACTTTCCATGTAGTACCACCCACTTGTATGTGAATTTCATGACTTCATCTTTTCTAACAGCTACGTAGTACTCCATTGTGTAAAGGTACCAAAGTTTCTTTAACCAGTCATCTGTTCTCGGGCACTCAGGTTTTTTCCAGATTCTGGCTATTGTAAAGAGTGCTGCAATGAACAAACAAGTGCAGATGTCACTTCAACTATACTTTTTTGCCTCTTTGGGATATATTCCCAGGAGTGGTATTACTGGGTCATACCCTTTTAAAATATGGGATAAAACAGAAATATGTGTCCTATTTACTGGTTCAAATACATTTAAAGACAGAATATATGTAAAACCAATCACTACCTTTCAAATTTTTCTCATAATTTTCCAGATAACTCTCTTTCAGATAGAGCACCTTCATTTGTCTCTTTTTCCTGTACTACCTGACACAAAATTCGAGGCACATGAAGTGAATCCAAAATAAAAAATCCAAAAGGAATTTAAACCATTGTTATTACAACTCACAGAACTTTCTGCCCCCTCAGTCTCGATTTAAAATAGTAATCCTCTATTCAATATCTGGTAATTCTTTATTTTTTTTTTTCAGTTTTTGTGGCACACCCAGGGATGCTAAGGCCTTACTCCTGGTTCTGTGCTCAGGGAATCACTCCTCACAGGACTCAAAGGACTATATGGAATTCTGGGGAAATAACCCAGATTAATCATAGAAGGCAAGTGCCTTACTTCTGTACAACATTCCATCCCAACATCTAGTCATTATTACTATAAGGGGCTTATTAACAACATAGCTATATGACCTCTATGTCAGATGTCCACATAGTCTGCATACCCTAGGCCTCTGCATATCTATATCTGTTTCCTTGTCACTACGATAAAGACTGTTGCGATTAACACTTCATAAAGAGTGTCAGTATAGCTCAGAGTTTAGCTTTTGCTTTGCATGCATAAACCTTTGAGTTCGATCTCTGTCAGAATACACACACACACACACACACACACACACACACACACGAAACACAACACACACATTAAGGTAGGTTATTTTTTCAAAGTTACTCTGTAAGTTAAATATATAATCCTCTAGAATATCTCACATGAGACTATAGTAGTTTCTTAAGTGAGAATATTAATGTGACAAAAATTAAATCACTTAACTTTGACATACTTTTGTTGCTTTAATTCTTGATCTGTTTTATCTTTGATCCCAGTACTTAATATGAGTGAATTTTTACACACAAAAAAAAATTAATCTTGGCCATAACTGCTTCGATATCTTTTAGAAACAGACTTGATAAAACAAATGAATCATAAAAGAAAACAAAAAAAAATTCTCCCAAGCTTTCTTATCATTTTATCCCTTGCTTCCCAGTCTTTTTATGGTGTTAAAATACAGTTCCCTAAGCCTGGCCAGCTTACTCAGCCATGTCGCCTTTCTTTTGCGCTTTGCTGACTCAAGACAAGAGGAATTAGATAAAATCCGTTGCAGCTACAATCTCATCACTAGTGTGGTCCCAGATGGTCTCTCAGTTTTGATATATGAACTTATCTTTACCCACTCTTTTTGTGATCTTTGACTTGATAATAGGCTTCATGCATCTCAGTCTAGGTATTTAAATGATAAGATCCCATCAATCAATTCTTTCTAAAATTAGAATTCTACCTGTAATAAATTTGTGGCTCTTGCCTATGTGATCTGTTCCACGTTTTCTGATAGGGAACCATTTTACAAGCTTTGTCTTTCATAGTTTCACAACCAGGTATTTCTTTGTGGCTGGTACACAACCACCCCATATATGTCTGTAACCACATCCTTCTGATTATGCTTTATTGTTCAAGGAAAGGACTTCAACAAAATACTGAGACTAACTTTCCATAAGAGATATCTTTTTTTTTTCTTTTTGGGTCACACCCAGCAATGTACAGGGGTTACTCCTGGTTTATACACTCAGGAATTACTCCTGACAGTGCTTGGGGGACCATATGGGATACTGGGAATAGAACCTGGGTAGGCCGATTTCAAGGCAAATGCCCTACCCACTGTGCTATCGCTCCAGCCCCCGAGAGCTATCTTTAATTCACAGAGAAACTCTGTTTCCAAGTCCTGCCCCCTTCTCAGACATCTATAGATTAAAAACTTAGTCCTACTTCTATACCAATTTATGACCCCTAAGTCTAAATGTCCTAATTTTGGCTTCATACAATATAATTATAGATTGAAAGCTAATTTATTATCAGTCCAAAAAAAGTACTACAGAAATTTGATGCGAAATATCTAATATCAATTATTCTCTATAAGCAAATCTATATAATTGCTTGGATTGTGTATAATTTTCTGTATCCACACTATTTTTTTGTGGGGGCTTATGGGTTGGGGTTGGCGAGCAGAGGTGCCCACACTTGCAGTGCTCAAGGCTTTATCTTGGCTACACATTGAGGAATCACTGGTCATGTTCCAGAGGCCATTTGGAGTGCCAGGATTTGAACCCAGGTTGGCTATGTGCAAGGCAAGCACCCTGCCCAATGTCCTGTCTCTCTGACCAGCTCCTGTATCCATACTAATATTTTCCTCTAAATCATAAAAGCAATAGTCGATTGTGCATGTCAAATATTAGGGCCCACATTACTCAGCCAGTTTTTTCCAGATAATGGTATGTAAATTGTGTAAGCAACAAATTATTTTAAGTTGTCCAAAAACTAAATGGTATTGATTAATAACTTATAGCATTATTAATGCAGTAGGATGTATAGTGTACTCGGCAGGCATTAGTTGCTTGTCCTTTGGGAACCCTGTTTGGCATTAAGACCATCAATCACTGTGAAAGGATGTCTTGCTGTCTGGCGGTGCCCTTGGGATTCTTGCTCAGTATTTGATTTCTGTGCTTTTGTTGGTTTACAATTTTTTAATACAGTAATGTAACTTCCATAAATTTAAAACTTTTTCACTACTTTTTTACTTGCCTTATTTTTTATGATCTCACAGATCTTGTTCCATATGAGGATTGCAAAACATAATCCCCCAAGCACCACCAAGTTAGGCCAGGTAACTCCCAGCACTGCTGGCCAAAACAGTACCACATCCTGAGGCCCACAATGAAATCACTTACTTGGATTTATGGAGAATTTACCAGTAAGGGTCCTTGGTCTCATGAACATCATTGGGGAGTTCCACTCAATAAAATCCCAACAAAAATAATAATAATTTATGTTATAATATCTCACACAGCACTTGTCAATGGGATGAAACAGTGTTAGCTATTATACTTTCTTTTATTGATCATTGTAGTAATAAAGCAGTACGCAGAGCTGCATCTCATGTGGTATTTTCGTATCCCTTCCTCCACTGTGAATAAGAGTTTGTTGCAAACTTGAACTGAGTTCTTTTTCTCCCTTCATTTTCTTCTCTTTCCTCCCTTTCATCTAAGTGTCCCTGAGAGAAACCTAATCAAGATAAGAGCGTTTTCTTATTTCCTGCTTCTCCTTTATTCTCTATCCACTTACAACTTGACGGCTGGTTCTATTATTCCATGAAAACTACTCTGAAAAATACCAAAAAGCCTCTACACCACCACTATCAGTGGCCACTTATCACCTAATGTATTTTGTGTTTCTACTCATCCCTGGTAACCACTTTCATTTTTCAAATCTTGTCTTCCTTTCATTTCATTTACTATGATTATACTGTCTTTTCTTGAATCTTCATCACTTCTCTCTGATCACATTTCAACTGTTCCTGTCTATTAGAATCGTTGATCTCCCTGAACAACAATCCTCAGATACTGTTCCAACATTCCTGTGAAAATTCAGTTGAGCTTAAGGATTTGATTCTTTCTGAGACATGGGTTTTCACAGTAATATTACTGACATTCTCTCCAGGATCTAAAGGTCCAAGTGTGTTTTGGGCAACTCTTCATGCATGACACCTAGACACTTAAACAAAATTTAAAAAATAAATACATAAATAAATAAATAATAAGAAAAAGAAAAAAAACTCTCAAAGGGGCCGAAGCAATAGTACAGCAGGTAGGGCATTTGCCTTGCACGCAGCAGACCTGGGTTCGATTCCCAGCATCCCATATGGACCCCCAACACCACCAGAAATAATTCCTGAGTGCAGAGCCAGGAGTAACCCCTGAGCATCGCTGGGACCCAAAAAGGAAAAAAAGAAAAAAATAAAACAAAACAAACAAACAAAAAGAAATTCTCGAAACTTGTTTTTCGTCTTCCTGTCTTAGTCAAAGCTACCACAACCTACCCAGCCACTTAAATCAAAAGTGTGTTTGACACTAGAAGCCTCCTTCTCCCAAGCCCTCTCCATGCAGTCAGCCACAAATGTCTATTCCTGCTCTTTATCTTGGTATTCTTTCCTTTGCTATTTACCCATATTTAAATCCAAGATCCCCTGCTCCTTGAATCTGCCTTTCATCATATGCCTTCCATCCTGTTCACTGACTAATTTTTCTAAACCAATATCTTGATATTCCAGCTGTTTAAAAGCTCTGAATGGTTTCCTCACACCCTGCTGGAAACAGCCAGATTTCTTAGCCTGGCATAGCACGTTATTCTTTGCCCCTTGCTTCTTTTGCAAAGATTTACATTTTGTCACTCCCCAATAACTTTCTCCTTAAACATTTTATAATAGAGTGTGGCACTGTAGCACTGTCCTCCCATCGATCATCGATTTGCTCGAGTGGGCCCAGTAACGTCTCCATTGTGAGATTTGTTGTTACTGTGTTTGGCATATCGAATACGTCGCGGGTAGCTTGCCAGGCTCTGCTGTGTGGGCGAGATACTCTCGGTAGCTTGCCGGGCTATCCGAGAGGGGCAGAGGAATCGAACCCAAGTCGGCCAGTCGGCCGCATGCAAATTTATGTTAGATTTTAAATTATATGGGGCATAACTGGAATTATGCCCCATATAATTTAAAATCTAATATAAATTTAATCTTTTTAAGTCTACTGTCTTAAAAACAAAAAGTTTGGAGGAGACAGGATTTTTTGGGCCGTACCCAGTGGTGTTCAGGGACTGCTCCTGACTCTGTTTTCAGGATCACTTTTAAAGGGATCATATGGGGTATCAGGGACCGAACTGGGTCTACAACATGCAAAGCAATGTCTTCATCCCTGTACTATTTCTTCAGTCCCAAGGAAAACACTTTATTTTTATTAGAACTATATTCTTCAATACTGAAACTGGTTAGTTAGAGTCATGCTTGTTTTATTATTACATTAACCTGCGAGTTAAAAATATAATGTGCAGCTATATCTTGTACTGCTTTATATTTTCTCATTGTTTTTGTATTTCTTTCTTTTTTGCCTTGAGGGTAAAGGAAAACCTCCACATGGAATTAATGACATTTTTTGTTTATTTGCACTTCTGGTGAGAAGTATTTAATAGGAAATAAGCTAATTTTTAAAGTTAACAATAAGAAACATTAAAAGAGGGGGAACAAATGGTGTCTTTTGGGAGACAATGTTAAAAATCTTAACTTATTAATATCAGATATTCATCTTTAAATCAGATTTCACATCCTTTTATTGATTGTGGTACTATACTAAATAACTTTCTAATGCTATTCTGACCATAGAATGAGGAAAATGGTGGTTCCTTAGTGATGGCTTGGGTTATGATGCAACAAATGACCCTTTAATCCATGGGTAAAGCTGCTATTAACAGATTTTGATATCACCAATTATGGAAATTTTCTAGAAACAATGACCTTGAAATGTTTACCTGAATTAATATGTTAAATACATACAATAAAAGAGAAATTCACTAAAACTACATCTTGATAACAAGATGTTAATAAATCTAAAAGTAAATATATTTTAGGCAAATGGACAATGGTTAGGTAAAAATGAGTGGTCTTTGAATAGTGATCATTCTGTAAACCCACTTATGATTTATGTCACTGCAAAATGCAAGAAAAAAATGAAATCTAGGACTAATCACAGAATGCTGTCTAATTTTGAACTTTTCCTTTAAATCGTAATAGAAATAATAAATATTATTAATAATTTGCTGATATTTTCTAATAGTTTATTTTTATACAGAAGCAAATCAATAGTATTCAACCATACCAATCCATTTATTCTACATCACTGTTTTTGCTTGAACATTCGAAACAGCAACTGTTTTGGGAGTTAATGTGGCAACACTTTATATAATATATTGTTTCACTTATGTAACTTCTAGCTCCTTCTGAACTGCTATTGATATCAGGGGAAAACCAGCTGAATTTTATTTATAGAATCATAGTGAGGACATATATTCTCTAGAAATGAAAGAACAAAATTGTTTGCATTTTTTCAAATAATATTATTAATTTTTGAGATTATCCATAAAGTGAATAAAAAAATAGAACTCATCTTCAATCAAAATGGCTATTTTTTTCCTAAGAAAGTTTTCAAAGAATAGTGCATTATACTCTTTTTCATCCCTGCCCTAGGAAATTAAATATATTGTTAAAACCTTAGGGGAGTTAAGTACACCATTTATACTAGTAGGATAAAAATAATTTGCTTTAGTATATTAAATTTAATTTTATAGTCCCCCTAACCTGTATTTTGAATATTTGATGTATTTATAATATAGTTATATATATGTAATAGTAATCAAAATTTTTGTTATATTTTATTGTACAATGATGTCTTCATGTATAATTTTATTTTTATTATAGGTTGTTTGAAACACTCCAATCTCTATTTTGGTCCATTTTTGGCCTCATCAATTTATATGTGACCAATGTCAAAGCACCACATGAGTTCACTGAGTTTGTTGGTGCCACCATGTTTGGGACATATAATGTCATCTCTCTGGTTGTTCTGCTCAACATGTTAATAGCTATGATGAATAATTCTTACCAACTTATCGCTGTAAGTGAAATAACTTTATTTTAATTTGATATCCTCTGTTCTCCCTAAATATATTATACCTAGCTCTATTCTATTTATAATCATTAAAAATAAAGCCAGTAAATGTTATTGATGAGACAGATCAGAAGTATAAGTGGGTTACCTGAAGTTTCTGAGCTGGAGCGATGGCACAGCAGGTAAGGTGTTTGCTTTGCATGCGGCGGACCCGGGTTTGATTCCTCTGCCCCTCTTGGAGAGCCCTGCAAGCTACCAAAGGTATCTCGCCCGCAGGGCAAAGACTGGCTAGCTACCTGTGACATATTCGATATGCCAAAAACAGTAACAAGTGTCACAATTTGTTGTGAGATGTTACTGGTGCCCACTTGAGCAAATCAATGAACAATGGGAGGACAGTGCTGCTACCTGAAGTTTCTAAGGAATTAAGCAGTATTATATCATATTGACTATAGAATATTCTAGTTGTGTTGTTTTTTTTTTTTTTTTTTACTCCTTGGTCACAACTGGCAATGCTCAGGGGTTACTCCTGGCTCATGCACTCAGGATTTACCCCCTGGCAGTGCTTGGAGGACCATATGGGATGCTGGGAATTGAACCCGGAGGTCGGCCACGTACAAGGCAAACGTCCTTCTTGCTGTTCTATTGCTCCAACCCCTGTTGTTTTTTACATGATTAAGAAACAAATAAATCTCTTTTACTAAGCAGTCACTAGCCGTATTGGCCAGCAACTCATGGCTATGCAGTGTTCGTAGTGCAAGGCATTATCTCTCTCCATTTAACCTACCATTTTGGTACAAATTCATGCCAGTTCAACAAGAAATAAATGATGATAGCCCAGAGAGATCATTGAGTGAGGTGCAAATAAAAAATACAGTTTCTAAAAGCTTAGAGCAAACAATATAGAGCTGGAGATACATTGCATTTGGTAACAGAATATTCAGTACCATATGTGTTTATTCGAAACTGGAATCCAAACTACTTGGCTCAGTTTGTTTATCATTCATTCGACCAATTCTTATTGAGTACCTGTTTTGCTGCCAAGTACTGTTCTAGGAACTAGAAATATAGCAACAAGCAGGAAAGACAAAGCCCTTTGTCTCCCTACACTTGCATACTGTGGGCTCTCTTGAAGGCTAATAAGTAATGACCAAAGAAACCAAACTGCAGTGAAATAGATTACTAAGTCTTCATATCCAAACCTTAGACAAGTAATATTTTATAAATGTGGGCTCAACATTTTCCCCATAAATAACTATAATAAGATTGCATCTTCATGCCTACTCTTAAACTCTCATCATGTTATTTTAAGGACTAGCAGTCTGAATTTTACTTAATCTGTTTTTATGAAGGCAAGCTACCTGCCATAAATAAAATACTGCATAAAAATAAGAATATAGATTATTGCTTTACTGATTCACTGGCAAAAGTATAATCATAGCATATATTGAGGTTTTAGGACTTATACGTGAATACCTAATTTTGTTAAGTTTCATTAAAGAATTCAACAAATCTGAATATTTTTAGGTTTTCCCTCCATATTTATATAAAAATTCTGCCCTTTAGTTACTACCTTTCCAAAATGTGATGTCTAATTTCCCAGAACACCTCTCAAAAAATTAAAAGCCTTTCTAAATACCAAGCTCTGAATGGCATAGTTGTATAGGCAAATTGGATTCTTTAAAGTATTGATTTTATCATGAAGAATAATGTTTTATTGAAGAAGAGTGTAACATATTCCTTTTGCTTCTTTGGGAATATATTTCTCTAGATTACTTCATACAGAGGGGAAATGATTTTCAAGTCTTTGCTTCTGTTGAGATTAAAATAAAAAATTAACCAGGGAGGAAGACTAAGCCTTATGAACTGACTTATGAACTGACACACCCTGTGCTTGTCCCAAAGAGATGCTAAAGGGTTACCTTCTCCCTCTATTAGAAGACCATGATTTATCCTGGGGGAGTTTCCCTTTTGTACTACTTCCCCTAACATAAAGACTTAGGAGAGAAAAATTGTAAGAAAGGAAAACTAAATATTTGAAAGACAAAACATAAATAAGTTTACATGGCAGGTGTCTCACTCATGCTTCTGTTCTTCAATAAGATAGGAGTTGGTACCAGTTCAACATTCAATGCTTGATTTTAGATATATGCACTGTCCACTGTCCTGTCTTTCAGTTGTTCATCGATTTTGCTCAAGCGGGCACCAATAACATCTCCATTGTGAGACTTGTTGTTACTGTTTTTGGCATATCGAATACGCCACAGGGAGCTTGCCAGGCTCTGTCATGTAGGTGAGATACTCTATGTAGCTTGCCGGGCTACCCAAGAGGGGCAGAGGAATCGAATCTGGGTTAGGAATCGAACCTGAGTTGGCCACATGCAAGGCAAACTCCCTACCCACTGTGCTATTGCTCCCACCCCTTTAGATATATAAAGAATAATAAATTCTTTTATAGAAGGTAATAAAGCAATACAGTGGGACCAAAATAATCAATGAATATTTTAATCTCCACAAAAGAAATTTGAGAATATGGTAGGAATTAAGAACCATGGTTCTTAATTGGCTCATTAATATTATAAAAGAGCTAAATTAATATTAATTTTATAATATTTCATTAATATTATAAATGACCTAAAAGGAACCTAGACCAGCGGGCCATGGCTCGTTGTGGGAGATGGGGCAAACTTCTCAGAAGAAGACATACACTTAAGGTAAGGAAGGATACAGTATCGATCAAGTGTTAGAAGGTGGGCTGTGGGAGGTGTTTTTTTTTTTATCATCAGCACACTAAAAAATTTTAGCTTTGGATTTGCTAACCACTAACAATCTCAAGCCATGAGCAAAAGGAATTCAGTTTTTGAGAGCAGGAGGAGAGCCTAATGAGGCTGGCTGGGATGGTCCCTAATCTTTGGTTCCATGAGAATTAAAAAAGAAAATAGAACAGAATCTATGCACAAGGCAGTACTTCATCCAAGTGACTGGTTTTTATTACCATGAACCAGTTCTACTGAGTCCCATTCTTCATGACTGCAGTGAACAGTATACAATTTTTCTATGAACATGGACACTTGTTTAGACAGAACAAGAAGGAGGGAAGGTTAAATAGAGACAGTGAGATGGGGAGGGAAAGAGGAAGTGGTAGCTCCTGTGCTTCACTCTATTGATCAATACATCCAGTGAAACATTTGCTTAGCAACAACGAAGGTCATGCTTTTTCTAGATATGGAAATTCTCCTTGAAAGTACAATCTGTTCAGTGTCTAGAATAAAACCCATATTGTTTAAAGTAGAAATGCATCATGCACAATGAATAAATTCATTAGCGTGCAGCAAATTTGGAATATGAGAAAAATATAATCTAAGATCATTCTCCTCCAAAATATGACAAATCTTTTATAATATTAATGAGCTAAAAGGAACCATTTTGAATTCTCAAAATATATGAATGCCTAGATTCTACCTCCTCCTACTTCCCAGATTATATGTTTCAATCAGATTTGTGGCTAATTTAAAGGAGACTAGCTGCCCTGGATCTAATTGCCAGAGATGTTCCTAAGTTTGTCCAGAAGCTAATAAAATGGGACAATTAATGATGAAATGATCAATCACTGGTGAAAGAGATAGGTTCTACCTTAGGGGCAACCAATAGTGACACTAGCATCTGGTGTTATTTTGGCCAAGGTTATATCAAGGTTGAATGTTTTATCAGAGGTACTCCCTACATTTGTTAGAGGAACTTCTCTCTGAATGTATGCCTTTTGCCTGAAAGTGGACAAGAATTATTTCCATGGAAACATCTCAAATAAGTCTTTTCCTGGAAACACAGAAGGCCAAGCTGTGAGCATCTGTGGAGGTGGCTCTTACCTAAACAGGGGCTCTGCCTTGGGTAAGACATGACACAGTTTGTGCCTGGAATGTACTGAAACTGTGCCACTAAGCCTGTGGTGCAGGAAATGAAGATTCATCTGTAAGTCATAACTAATCACTGCAGTCTGTTTAACATGGGATTGGCTGAGATGTCTGTTTCATGAAAAAGGGAAGGATGAGAAGTGACAAGAGACCTGTGACTCCTTAACAGGGTAAGCTATCATCCGGATTGTTTAGATAACAATCTCTGGGAGGTAGTGTGTTTTTACAGCAATTTAATTAATGTTCCAAATGCCACTCAAATTCAGGTTACAGGTTTTCTCTGAGGTTCGTCTCACTTTATTAATTAAGAAACCTGTCAGCAGTTGTCATATTCTCCTGTTCAGGACCATGCAGATATAGAATGGAAATTTGCACGAACGAAGCTTTGGATGAGTTACTTTGAAGAAGGAGGGACTCTGCCTACTCCCTTCAATGTCATCCCAAGCCCCAAGTCTCTCTGGTACCTGATTAAGTGGCTATGGACACACCTTTGCAAGAAAAAGATGAGAAGAAAGCCAGAAAGTTTTGGAACAATAGGGGTAAGAACACAGCATGTTAGTATTACTCTTTCTTTTTTATGGTATGTTTAGTCCACTTGTATTGCTTACTGATTGTTTTTGCATTTGTAGTATTTTTTTTTACTTTTTTAATTGATTTCATCATTTAACACCTCTTGCATATTTACCATTTCTAATATCTCAAGTAACATAACAATGATAACTGTCTGTCTCACAAACCCTGTCTCACTTTGAGGACAGTTGCTATTTTAATTGGAGCCACACTCCTTGACACAGGCCCCTCCTTCTCCTGCCAGCAAGTTTGGGGAACTAACACATTTTCTCTAAATACCTTGCTATGGAGCTCTTTTCAGAATTGCAACATTGGGTTATTTGAGGCATTTCTCACTCACTGTCTGTCTGTCTGTCTGTCTCTCTCTCTCTCTCTTGCTCTCTCTCTCTCTCACTGGGTTGTAAGTGATGGTGTCAGTTTGGGTCATCTCATGCTTTTAGAGTTCTGTACACAGAAGCTATGCTGGATAAAAACTACTCACTCGATAAAATGACTCAGTATTCAGTGATTTCAGAACACTATTAATTGTTCAGCATTGCTTCTACTCTGACCATAATAATGCTAGAAGTTGTATTTTTAAGAATATTACTATTGCTCAGGCCTAGATCCTGCTGTTCTAGAGTACTGTATTTTCTTTAAGAAAAATTTTTTATCAGGAAATGCAAAAGTTTCAATCACTTCCACCAGAAAATAAATGCACTTTGAGACTTGGTTCAGATAAACCAATGACATGGAACATGTCATTTAGAGAGATGTTTTGGGAAAACCCTAACATTTATTAGTCACTTTGACCTTCTCCAAAATATTGCACTGAACTATTCTAAAATGTCATAGATGAATCACCAAGTGATTTTAGTTACTTGATGAAAATTTTTCCTTATATTTTATTTCACATACTTCTAGTTGTGGTCTACATGGTCCTGCTCACTTAAGTTCATCATCCACCAGCATTTTTATCAGTAACAAATGAAACTTTCTCTACTGAAAATCAAACTAATTTTCCTATTGCATGGCCTGGGAAAGAATTCAGCAGTTAGTGTGCATGCCTAGCATGAACCCAATCTTGATTTCATCCCAGCACCTCTTGGTCTTCTGAGCACCTTGGGTACATTCCAGGAGATCCCTGAGTACCATCGAGTCATCCACAGTATCCCTGCCTCCAGTACCACACTGCATCCTTGTTCCTTGTGTGTTAACACTGGCCTGACCTGATCCTTGACCTGACCTTAGGATTCATCACTGAGGACCCTGGAACCACTTAACCACTGATTGGGAGATGCTCTCTCCCCGCCACCCTTAAAAACATTTCAATAGCTAGAGTATAACAAACATAATTAAAAGAGGCAGTTAGAGTCAGAACATAGATTTACATTTTTTAAGTGTTATTATTTAAATCGGAGAACTAAAGTTTGCTTACAAGGCTCATCTTAGAAACTACCAGAATACGTTGATTCAGTCCTGCCATTCTCAGTCTCATTTAGAGATTTTATCAATGATCTTGGGGAAAAAAGATACAGCCATAAGTTTTTACTTGAACTACTTGCTTGCTTGCTTTTTGTAAGAAAAATATTGCTCATATTTTTTTCAAGGGCTGGTTAGGAATTCAAATAAATGTAAAGCATATTTAATAAGAGAAAAGGTCAAATTTCATTAAGCATTATGAAGCATTGGCCAGAATGTTAATTCTAAAGTAAATGGGGCAAAACAGGAGTACATAATGTGAGTGAAAGAAGAGTTAAGGGCTGGAGTTTCAACGATCTAGGATGGGGAGCTCAGAAGGAAAAGGCCAGATGCTTGGTAATTACATGTTTGTTCTACCATCTCAATAGGGTTTTCTTCTAGATAGGATATTTCTGTAGAGTCTGCTAAATCTGGGTGATACCCCAAAATTAATCCTTCTAGGTAATTTAGAAAATAGTTTCTTTTGCACTGCAGGGCTTTAATGATAATAGCTTCAAATAACTTATATGTTAGTGACCCATACTCTCTTAAGGACATCTTGAGAGACCAGTCAAACTAAGTTTGAACTAGACTGTTCAAACTAAGTTCAAATTATAAAATGGCTGGGGAATAAGTTTGTTCATTGAAATTTAATATGCAACATTGAATTTGTTTCTCATGGCAAAACCCGAGCTATTAATTAGTGGGTGAGCAAGAATAAAGACATAACTCCCATCTTTGAGGGAGTCTATAATATTTAGTGTGGACCACATGCTAAATACATGTTCTGTGTTTAGCATTATAATATAACATTCTGTGAGAATAGTGCAATAAGTAGTAGTGTTTTCTTTTATGTGATAAAGGAATAAGTATGAGAGAAGGCAAACCCTGGCCAACTTTCTTCCACATCAGATGAAATTGTGCTCTTCCCAAGATTATTTCTAAATTCTTGAGAATATATCAGCAATCCTTCAAAAGATGTTAAGATGAATACTACATTATTATGCAAACTATGAAAGAAACATTTTTAATTCACAAAAGCTTTGCCATAGCAGAAAACAAATCTTGGTCTTTAAGTGCTACAAACTACATTAGCAAGGTAAGGACTTTTCCGTATTCTAATTTTTAAGAGGACCCATTTGTATTCCCTCCAAAATACTGAAGAATAGAACCACACTTCAAAATTTAATATCTAGCATTTTTTCCCCATCTTCACAGTGGTCATGCATTATTAGAAATATGTTACCAGTGTTTCTTAGATGTCGGAAGTAGTCTAACATTAATGGGCTTTAGTGTTAAAATTTTGATTTATTTTTATTTTTTATTATTTTATACATATAATAAAATTATTATTTTAGAGAATAAAGGTAAATGGCTTAAGTTAAAAAGCTCACTTTTCCGCAATTACTAGTCTAAAAAATTTATTCTTTTTTCATCTCTTAAGTTTTCTATTCTAGATTTATGCACAATAAATTCATTTACAATTAGTTATGATGGTAATTTTTCTGCAGACTCATAAAGATTACTAATTTATGGTATTGAATATGTCAATGTTTTGACATGTTATGACAAATAAAGAGTGAAAGTGATATTTTCTCCTTTGTTTTCTCACTGAATCCTGCCTCTAGTTCACCAAACTATAGCAGGTAGCTTGGGTGTAGACTCCAACTTTATATAACTTATTTATTATTCATTTAGTTTGCATTTTCAGATTGAGAAGGTCATGATATTTTGACTTTCAAAAACCTCACTCTTAATAGAATTAACTGCCTTTTTTCTTAGTTGAAATAAGTTCAACATATATGTATTTACATGTTAACACATTGATACATATATATTTAGTTGGGATACATAAATAATGTGTGTTATATATAAAGAAAAAATGAATATGAATGAGACATATATTGGGTATAATATTAAAAAGAAGTTAAGTGAGAAAATAATTTTAAGAAGTTATGTTGCTGTGAATTTTTTGCAATTTGGTTGCCCGTGCTAATATTATGTAAATATATATAAAGATAAGGAGATCCACAAATACTCCTTGATTAAATAGGAAAAGTAAAAGTCCAATAATATTTATTTCATATTGCCAAGACACTGCTTCAGATACTACTATAAGCTTTTAAGGGCATCTTCAAAATCATTTTACTTAACTACACCTTTACAAAAGATCTTGTGACCAGTGAGGTACATGCTTTACATGGGGGAGTCCCAAGTTTATTCCTTGGAATACCACATGGTCCCCAGTACCAAAGGCTGAACCTAGAGTAACAGCCCTTCACCCCTCCACGTCCACAAGCACTAATATATATTGTTTACTTTATTCAGATTCAGATTCCTTTGATGGCAAAAGTAGTGTTGGGGAACTCCCAAATCTTGGTCTTTTGTTTCCAACCCAAATACTATTTTCCAAGGCCTGTCTTGCTTTCCTGAAAAAGAAAATCTTATGGAATACCCACCAACACAACCCATGTTGTTTATTCAACCTTTTTTGATTATTCTCAACAGCTTTTACAGGATCCTACCACTGTTTTCAGCTGCCTCTTTAGAGTCCTGTTTCCCAAAGCCCATAGTTAACAGGTTGGACATCTGCTCTCACCTTAAATAACTTATAGTTATGCCACTTTTTTCTGCATAGAATTACAACTAAACTGAAGATCAAGTTCTTAACTTTTTGGAGACATATTCTCAAACTTAGCCACTTGGAACTCACCTGCTCTTATCAAGCTGTAACTGTATAATGAAGTGAGTGTGCCCAGTCACCTCAACTTGCCTAGACAAAGCCTGAAGAAAGTGTTCCAGGATTGTTCTGGAAAAAATATGTTCCATCCTCTCCAGGAGCCCATTACTGGTGATCTTAAGTGGCTATTTCTGTCTTTGGCATTATACTGAAAAAAAAAATAGCCCTAAAAAGTCATTAGCTGAGTTTTGTTTTTAAATTTTGACTTTTATGGGCTATTGGGGGTTCTGTATAAATTAATCTTCACTTGGAATGCTTTCTATGAGGGTGGAGCATAAATAAAGTAGAAATGTTTCATCATAGGCAGCAACTTCATTATTGAGAAATTGTTTGTCTCTCCAGGAAATTTCACCAATGAGATACTTAATAATAGAATAATGAGGAAATAAAAACATGCATGGCTTTTAGTTTTTGACATTACTCCGTGGCAATATTTTTCACTTACCCCGTTTTATCAGTAAATACTCTTCTCAGTGTTAAAACACTAATTTTCAAACTTCAGTGTGATTAAAGTCATCTAAAATCTCGACTTTAACATGTATTTTTCAGCTTGTGACTTTAATTAGGGATTCTTAATGAAGAATGAATTGGTCTCTTGTCTGGCTCAGCTTATTAAACTAAAACAAAACCACCTTTGTGCTTATTACTCTAGTTCCTTAATCATTCAATTTAATTAAAAATATACTAATGCAGCACTTGGTAAGTGTTCAACTATACACAAAATTTTTAGTGTCATAGACCTGGTTTCTAAGTTGAATGCTTCAATTAATAATTTGATGTATTAAACCAAAAATAACCACTTAC